CGCGCTTGGCATAAGTGGACTAGGACTGGACTGGCTCAATTATTTTTGTACGGAAAAAATAAATTAATGAAAAAAATAAAAAAATATATCCCCATTCGACGCCGTAACAAACATCCAGCTGCTGCAGGGCAGTTACGTCACATTGACGTCAGCATCTCCCGCTCATTTTTTCATCTCTCACTATAACCAACTCACTCTGCACACATCTTTTCCATCAAACGCTCTGCTGCAACTCACCCTCTCTCATTCCCCCAACACAAAACACACACACACACTCACAATCACACACACAAAATACGCACACACAAAACACGCACACACGCAGTGAAAATGGAGGCCGGAATCTGAATCTGATTGATTTTTTCGTAGAATTTCAGCATGGATTTCACCAGAAAACTGAGCTTCGTCGTTTTCATACTCTGCGTTCTGATTTCCCTGAAAAAAAAGCAGGCAGATATCAATAGAAGGGGTTGCGTCGCTTCGGACTCACCGCCTCCTCTCCAAGCTCCGCCGTCTCATCGGAAGCTGCAGCAGAACGACGGTGGCGAGAATGTCCTCCCCGAAGGAATCAGATACGATTACTACAACGAATCCTGCCCTTCAGCTGAGCAAATCATCCGATCTACCGTTCAAGAGCTGTACGAGTTTCGCCCCGATGTAGCCCCTGCTTTACTGAGGCTCGCCTTTCACGACTGCTTCGTCAAGGTGACTCGAATTTTTATTTATTTATTTTCCTTCCAATTCTTCCATTATCCGTTTTTGGTTTTGTATTAGTGGTTGATGATACCTTTTGGGGGCTGAATTAAGTCTGATTTTGTGGAGGTGAACAATTTAATCATCTCGTGATAAGATCTCTGCTGCTTTTTGCTTTTTCTCATTTGATACCGTTTTGGGGCAGAACTCGTTCTAGGTTTGTACTGAATTCTAGGGTTGTGCATGAACTATTTGATTCAGTTTTTACTCACCTTTATTCAGAGTGTTTTAGTTCATGGTGAGGAGAAGATTTATGGTGTTTCTTCTATGTTTTGGGGATGAATTCACTGCGGTTTTCTCCTACATTCCTAGGGCTTTGTTTGCTCAAGAGTTTGTGTAATTTCATTACTGATTTGTGTATGAGCTCTTTGATTCATTTTTGACTCGATGGTATTCAATGTTTTAATTCATCGTGATGAGATTTTTGCTGTTTTTCTACGTTTTGGGGATGAATTCTCTGTAGTTTGCGTATTTGAGGTTCGATTTAATTGCATTTCCTTGGCTCTTTGATTCAGTTTTGGCACGATGATATTCAAGGTTTCATTTTATCGTGATGAGATTTTAGCCGTTTTCCTACGTTTTGGGATGAATTCGCTGTAGTTTTTCATATTGAAGGCTCACTTTAATTAAATTTCCTGGGCTCTTTGATTCAGTTTTGACTCTATGATATTGAAGGTTTTATTTCACCGTGATGAATTTTTTTGCCGTTTTTCTACGTATTGGGGATGAATTCTCTGTAGTCTTCTCCTGGATCCCTAGGGGTTTGTTTGCTCAACAGTTAGTGTGATTGCATTACTGATTACTGATTGGGCATGGGATCTTTGATTTGTTTTTTACTCGGTTTTATTTCATTTGACGGCATCTTTTGCTTCGAGAAGAATTTGAATGGTCTAATTTATATTAGTTCCGAAATAGGCTTGTCTAGTTTTCATGAATTTAATGTGGTTTCCCCCAAGTCACTTCTATATATGCATATACAGTAGTAGTTTCTTAAATGGTTTCTGCCGTATATTACTTGTAGGGTTGTGATGCCTCAATTTTATTGGATCCTACCAATTCAACCGCTAGCGAGAAAGAGGCTTTTCCTAATCAATCTCTGAGGGGATTTGATGTGATTGACATTATCAAGTCAGAAGTCGAAGAAGCATGCCCTGGAGTTGTTTCTTGTGCTGATATAGTGGTTCTTGCTGCAAGAGAAAGCGTTCTCGTGGTAACTTATATTAACTCCTTTCTCTTGCGTTTGTTTTGTGTGTGGTGAATCTATATGTATATATCCATTAAATTTCTTGTGATCTTTCGAGTTCCAGGCTGGGGGGCCATTCTATCCTCTGTTGACCGGTAGGAAGGACAACAAAGAAGGTTCTCTAGATGAAGCTAATAGACTTCCCAGTCCTCAAGATCATCTCTATGAAACACTTCACAAATTTCAACCAAAAGGGTTTACTGAGAGAGAGACAATCACTCTACTAGGTATATTACATTCATACTCTTTTTTCATGACAAGGAAATTAGTATGTTTGATTACCTCAAAGCTGGGGATGCCAATCTCTTTAAAATGCAGCATATAGTTTAAAAAATATGACATGATCAATAATGTAGTTTTGTATATACTCTATATGCTTGTATGATTGTTGTTTCTAGCCTTCAGCATTCATACATCTTTCCGCAACCTATGCAGAGGATTTTTTTTCGTTCTTCTTACTTTATTTTTCCTCTACTTGTACATAGGTGCCCACAGTGTCGGAACCATCCACTGCAGCTTTTTTAATGAGCGGCTGTTTAACTTCAAGGGAAGTAATGCACCTGACCCTTCGATAGATGCTGAGTTTCTTGGTGTTCTGAGATCAAAATGCAATAGCAGCCACTCAAGATCAGCTTCACAATCCGCTTCGGCATACTATTCACCATACTATTCATCTTCACCATCTTTATCACCATCACCATCACCAACAGAAAATAGCTCGTCTCAGAATCCAGGAATGAAGATGGACTACGAAGGACCTAGAAAAGATTTTGGCACACTATACTACCGCAGTCTATTGCAACGCAAAGGATTACTGTTTGTTGATCAGCAGCTGACATCCATGGCTGAAGCCCAGGTTTGGGTCCAAGCATATGCCTCGGATTTATCCCTCTTCAAGAGAGATTTTGGACTTGCAATGATGAAGCTCTCCAACCTCCATCTTCTGAATGCATCGGTCGGTGAAGTTCGACTCAATTGCCGAAAAGTAAACTGAGTTTTACAGATGAAGTTTCTGAACTCTAAAGTTAGTTTCCTATCCACTTTAACCTTTTCTGAAACTCTGTGATGAACGTGTTTCTTTAGTACAAATAACCTGATCCACTCTTCATGTTCTAGCATGTTGTGTTCCCTATCATTTCTTGGCAATTTTTCATTATCTCCAGGTTTATGAATAGCTTAGTAATTGAATAAAACATATCAGTATGAATAATGAAAGAAGCTACTTATTTTCCTTTTTATTGGTGGAAATGGTAAGAATTCAGCATACAATAAACATACATTGAAGAAGTTAGAAACTGCAACTGAGCTTACAGAAACACACAGGGACGATAGTGGAGGAGACAGACGATGAATTCATGTGCAGATGCAATTGATATTTTTGATTTTTTTTTTAAACTTCAGATACTTATAGCTTTAAAGGGCCAAGACTTCTCATTGAACTGTGAACACTGGCTGAGCCCAGTTTCCGCATTGAATTGTTGACACTCCTCGATGGCTGAGGTACGTGATATTCCGAGTACATATCAACGAAAAAATTGTCGACAATTTCAAGATATGCAGGGCAGGTAAGTCTAGAGTAGTAATGAAGCACCTCCTCTACATCCATCACATGATCCATATCATTCACATCCATCATGTCTAATTCTTTCATCTTTCGAGCTAAAGCATCAGCTGCTCGAAAACTGGAATCTCTCTGCTTTCTTGCAACATATTTGCTTTCCTTCTTCTCTTGTTTCAAGTCTTCGAATTCATTGCAATCTGCAATACTTACGGAGCTTTTGCTGTACTCTTCGTCTTTTGGTGAGTGTTGACCCTCTTTCTTCTCCACCACCTTATTAGTAGTAGAATCCCACTTATCGGAGAAACTCGTGTAGAAACTATTCAGCTCCTGCCTTTGGTTGCAGACCCTTTTGCTGGTACAAAAGATGGGATTTTTGGGTAGTTTTTGGCGCCTCGATAAAACCAAGGATTTGAGGTTTCCGAGAGTTTTGTTGCAGTATTTCTTGGTTTTATAAAGGGTTTCTTTTACGAGCATTTTCGGCTTTACTTTTGTTGTGGTGCTGCTCATCTCTGTTTCTGTATCTGCAGTTACAGAAAGAAAGAAGCTCCAAATTTGCTGATCTTATGTACTATAATATATATAATATAATACTAAGCAAGAAAGTGACAAGAGCTTAAGTTTTGTTTTGGGGTACCTAAACCTTGAGACAAATGGCAATGAGGAAGGGATAAACTTCTCAGCTTTGGCCAACCAAAGTGTTATTTAAAGGAGAATACAAATATAGATTGAATTAGACATTCATTCCAAATAATTATTATTAATTTTAAGTACACAACAACTACATTTAGGTATATAGGCTCTGCAGTCCTAAGTTTCATTAATTAGGCCATTGTTAGATTACCACATTATCATGTGCTAATTGAAGTACTAATTTGTTGGATTGCTAATAATTAAAAATAATAATAATAATAATTGTAGGGGGGAAAAAAAAAGGGTCATAAATAGCATTAATATGGAAGAGGTGTTTTTGGACCCCTACTACAAGTCATAAGAAGTTAGGGAGGGTGATGTTGGTTGAAAAAAGTGGGATAAGGGACCATTTAGCAAAAAGTGATTGAAACAAGAGAATAGAGATACAGGCAATTTTAATATATGCACAAGCCAGTCACTTTCATTACAGTTTTTTTTTAAACAATATATATCTATCTAACCTCTGCTTTATCATTGGTTTTTTGCCATTCATTTTGTTGATGCTAAGTGAACCTAATAATCCAACTGTTATAAACTTGGAATTTTTTTGGGGGAAAAATTGTAATTAAATGTACTATGTATCTATCCATACAGTGCACACCAGGTCAGCTGGTCTGTGGAAATTGGAAAATGTTGTCCCCCATCTTTGTGTGTGTTTGTGTGTGTGTGTGTGTGTGTGTGTGTGTGTGTGTGTGTGTGTGTGTGTGTGTTGCAGCAATCAAAGAGAATAATCAATCATATTTTTATTTTTCTTCTGGATCAGTTGAACATGTTTAATGCTAATAAACTCAAAATCGACTTGATTCGTAATTGGTAATTCGTATCTACCTTGGCTAAGAAATGAATTTCTGTATAGTTAACAACTATACTGTAAATACCAACAATTTGTCACCACTAGACTGTATCAACTTTTATCCTGTTATATTATTTACTCGTTGAATCCCTTCTTTTTTGTGGAATTTGAAGAACTGATGCAGCAACCTGTGAACTTCTCCGTAATTGGGAACTGTAGGAACCAGCTGATTCTTGATCCATTTTGGCAGCTTTTCCGTTGAGTGGGAAAACCCTCTTTTTGTCGAATCAGAAGCATAACGTGCATCGACCAATAGGATCGCTGCATAATCGTTTCTATGCCGAATTGCTCTGCCTACAAATCAAAGAAAATCATACAATCAAGAAAATCACAACTATATATAATAAGAAGCCATATATAGAAACAAGACTACATACGATATTCAAGCAGCATGCACTTACCAATCGATTGATTCACAGCTTTCATGCAAAGATTATCGTAGTACTCTTTTCCTTTGCCCTTACATCTTTTAAGAACATGAAAACCAGTCTCACCACAGACAGGATTATTACTCGGGATTGTTCGACCAAGGCCTTCAATATGCTTCACCCTTTCCATCAGTTCAACATCCGATGGGCTAGGATAGGGCAATCCGACCATTACTATGCATCGACCCGCCCCGTCACTGAAATTGATACCTTCGGATATTTTCCCACCAACAACAGCAAGTAGAATCGCACCATTGCAAGATGTGGGACAATTAACTGCCAAATCATCAATCGTTTGTTTGTATTCTCTCAAGACAGCTTCAACATCTGTACTCTTTCTCGGTTCTCTAAAGATTTGCTTCTTCTTACTAATTCTTGAAAGAATCCCCGATGCCTTCCACGCATCATAGACTCGGCTCTCATAATCAAATGACGAGAAAAATACAACTACACCTTCCGGAACAACTGATACTAGATTACACAGCATAAGTCCTAGCTCTTCAATCTGCAATTTCAGTCCAAAGTGGAGTTTACGAACAAATAATATTCTACTTAGTATATTGTATTAACCAGAGTGGAAAGTGAGCTTCGTACCATGGTTGGCGAGCTTCTGTTTTTGAAACTAAAATCGAATGACTGACCCGAAGGTCCATGCTTAACAGCGATCGGCAAAATATTTTCAGAAGGAATTATATGACCGCACGAAAAGAATGGTAACTGATGCAGCTGTATTGATGGGAAGAGTCTTTCCTTTGTTTCCTCTATAGGTTGCAAAGTTCCTCCAGCCAATATGATAGCATGAGCTTGATCGACAACCTATCCAAATTAATTGTTTATCGTGATTCAAAAAAATAAAATAAAATAAAATCGAAGATTCTAGAATAAAATAGATGCAGAGTTAGCAATCAGGCAAACCTCGGAAAACATTTTTTCTCCGGTAAGCATAACATATTTTATGTATCCTCCTTCGAGACCGTTGCATGTTTGTGTAGGTGTCGAGACTATTATTTTGCCGTCGCTGTCATTATTTATCAGAGAGGAAAGCATGTCGGTTAATGCCCTGAAACCAGATATTGCACTTTCCCCCTCACTAATTGCTTTCCCTTCACCAACGATTCTCGAGGTGGCAGCTTTTTCTCCATACCCACTGACCTAAGACGACGTATAAGAGTATTTGATATTCAATTACAACGGAACAAATGTCGAATAAGAATAGAAAAACCTTTTTACCTTGTGAATTATGTTACTCTCTTTCATGTACTGCAACAGTTTGACCGGGTTGATGTCGTCGATGTGCAGAGCGTATAATACTTCGTTGATGGTCATCGTAGACTCCGACGTACTCGTAATCTCCTCAGTATTATTACACACGGGATCGGTTCGGTTCGCAAATTTATTACCAGCAGACAGAAATTGTGAAAAGGCCCGAGTGAGGGTCGTCAAAGTCTGTAAATACCTCCTATTCCCCGGTCCTAAAAGATTACGAAATCGTTGGAAATATCCATCTAAGTGAGACTGCAATTGGTTCAACTGAAAAAAAAGGAGAGAGAAAATCGTTGAAAGAAAAATGAATCGAGAGTAACTAGGCAATATTTCAGGAGGAAAAAAACGACATAACTAATATTTACCTGAGGGACTGTAATTTTTGCATCGTACATACTGATGAGAGTATCGGCTAGATTGTGAGCTTCATCTATGATAATAACACTGTCTTTAATATTTAAACCTAATGATTCGCGGGATGATTTTGAAAGAAGAGACTGATAAGGAAGAACAACGAGATCAGCAGTAGGCAACATTCGTCTCGAAACGTAATAAGGGCAACCTTCCAAATTGCGCCCCATTCGAACAAGATCTTCAATATCCAGAGCTTCCGTTTTTTGAATAATCTCATTCTTGAAATCCTCTATTTTCCGTCTCCTTAGCATAGAACATCCGGAGGAAGAACTCTTGCAACGTACTCTTTTTCCAGAAACCAACTTCTGTTGAATCAACACGACGACTTCAATCAAACAGAACATTATTTTTGTAATATTTATAATGCTTTGGCCCTGTTGTTAATGAAGACGCTATACAAAGCACACAAAATGCAAAACCCTTGATTTGTCAAAAGAATGCAAAGCTAATCTCTTCTAATCATAAACGGGGAGGTAAAAAAATGCGAACAAGAAAATTTTCGTAACATTCATCAAATCGACTTTTATCCGAGGAATCGCTTACAAATACCTTTAATTTAGAAGTGCCTTTTTTCTTATACTTTTGAAGCTCCAAGCACCTCTCATTTACACGAGTCGAATTCCCCAGCTTCAGCACCTCTAAAAAGAAAACATTCATCATACTGAAATCAAACACCTACTATTGTAAACTAGAGTGGGTTAAAGAAACATTTCTCGTACCTTCATTGATGCAGAAGTTCTTCCTTGAAGCCAAGCAAACAACCCTCAACTCAGTAGCAAATTTAGTCTTCCTCAGCTCTTTCATAAACTGCGAAAGCTGAGAATGTGTCCTGCTACAAAAGTAAACTTTCAACCGAGTCTCCACTTCCTCCTCACCCAACCCATCCACCTCCTCTTCCTCTTCTTCTCCGCTCAATAAAAAATCCTCCGCTTCACCGTTCTTCCTTTTCGATTTCCGACCATTTTCTGCATCACTGTCATATTCTTCTAATAAAAAAATCGCATCATCCACCTCATCAACCCCAGTTTTCACCTTCACATTTATCGCCTCACTGTCATCACTCTTTTTCTCCTTTACACCAAGACTGTGTAAATCTCTAACTACATCTCCCTTTTCCTTAGAACGGGACTCAATTTTTTTCTTATGTATTAGATTTTTCCTCTCGGGTTCTTTATTCGGTACGAAGTTTCTCATCCAATCGGGCTCATCATTGTCAACATTGTCATTACACTCACCCAGATTTTCCAAACCCTCCAGTTTTTTTCTGTCCACAAGCCATTGCAGTGCACTACATATCATGCTTAGGGTTTTTCCGGTCCCTGATTACCATAACCCAATCACCCATTTAACTAACATCTACAAATCAGAAAAAAAAAAAAAAAAACGGGGGGGGGGGGGGGGGGGGGGGAAGGGGGAATCCGGATTCGAGTGTTTACAGTAATTATGCATACAAATGAAAAAAAAAAAAAAAAAAAAAAAAAAAAAAAAAAAAAGAAGAAGGAAAATTGAATCAAACGAAGGGTGAACTCGATCGTACCAGTGGGGCTCTCGAGCAAGGAAATTCCGCCTCTGTCGAGAGATTCGTACAAGAATTTCATGAAATCGAGCTGAATGGAGTAGGGTTTGTACGGAAATGCTGGGAATTCCTTCTCCCCATTTTTCTCCATTTTCTTCTTCTCGAGTCGAGGGGAAATAATTAGCGGCCTTAATTATTATTAACTTAAATTTTAGCTTCAATTTTCCCGCGCTTTCAAGATAATAATATTTTATTATATGCACAAGACAAAATAATAAAATTAAAGGAATAATCTAAAAAATATATGTTGTTATACTTTAATTAGGAACTTTACGATTTTAATGGAATTTGACTATTCAATATTGGTATAAATAAGGGTAAAGGTATGGTCAAATTAATAAAAAAAATCACTTATGTTTGGATAATTACGATTATCCATTCTTATGGTGTCAAATTCAACATAATCTTCTAGATTTCGTGAAAATAATGTTCTCTAGTTTGTACGTTTTATGCAAAAATGCAGTTTCTAATGCACCACAATTTGATATTTACAAGCGAAAAAACACGTTTTATGATCATATTGTTTCAAAATATGGAGCTCGAATAAGATAAAACGAGTACAAAATTGAGAATTTTCCATATAATCTAGAAGATTCCACTAAATTTGACACCACAATGGTGGTAGTGTAAGAAAGATATATAGTTGAGGGTAACTGTTATTATCCAAACACGAGTGATGTTTTATGTAATTTGACCATCCCTTAGGGGGCGGCAAGCAATTAGTTATCTCCTTAATTAATTATTAGGGTTCTTTTGTGAATAATAATACTTTGGTGATGATTAGAGGTGGAAATCGGAATAAAATTTTCCAATTTCCGAATGCCGAATAATTCCGATATTTTCAGAAAATTATATTATATTTACATATATAATGTATACGGATTTTCATATTAAAACCAAAGTTGGTGCTGTGGACTTCAACTAATTGCTTTAAAAACTTTTTATGGGCCATAAGATATTGGCCCATTATACAAACGTATCAAACGTATTTATTTGGTTATTCTCTTGATTTCAAACGTATCCCTCCTTCTTCCTCGTTTTTATTTGGTTCCCCAATCGGATATCTTGTTGGACTCAATTAATTCTTTAAGTTTTCCTCAAGTTTGCAGCTTCACTAGATTTCTTGTTAGACAGAAGTTTTTGATTCTACAGTAATCCGTGGAGCGATTAACCCGTTGTTGGTTTTTTGTTTTCTGGTGTGTTCTAACTGTTTTTTTTCAATAGAAAATTCCGAAAGTTCCGATTTCCACCCCTAGAGTCTACATCGAGATTGTGATGATGGAAGTGATGATGGATGAAAGAGTTGAAGAAGACGACAGGATTTCGAATCTTCCAGAAGAAATACTATACAACATAATATATTTCATGTCCAAAAAGGATGCAGCTAAAACTTGTGTATTGTCCAAATCATGGCGTTTTCTTTGGCAAAACAGGCTAACAATTTCTTACAGTGAGGGATCATCCTTATTCAGTGGACCTCACCGCACCAGATTATTCATCAACGCTGTACGGTCACACCTCATCAAAGACAATCATCATCGCATAGAAGAGTTTCACCTCGATGTAAATAGTTCCGATTCGGCTTCCCTTCTCGAAAACTGGATCCCAATGCTCAAGTCAATCGGTGTCAAGGCCTTTTTTCTTTCTATTGACCTCCATGCACCCGATTCGTCGTCGTCGTACTTTCATCTCCCCTCCGTTTTCTTTCAAGCCGAATCTCTCACCAGTTTACATCTCTCTCGATGCAAGTTCCCCCAATACGACCGCAACGTACTCTTTCATCGCCTCGAACTAATTTGTCTACGCAATGTCGAGTTCACCGACCAACATACTATCAATAAGATATTATGGACCTGCCCTTTGATCACAAGTATTCGTCTCGAAGAGTGTAAAGGCTTGCATTTTACTAGCGTCGACTTGTTCCTCAAACATCTCAAGCACTTCACTTTCATCAACAAACAAATCGAAGACGAAGTCTGCGGCATTGACATCCTGTCGGTCCCCACTATCGAAAAAATCTACATTCATGGCAGCAGTACTCGATTTCGATTCCACGGCCATAAGTTTACTTATCTCAAGGAACTGTCTCTAAAATTGGTGATAGTATCCACCGACTCGTTCGACTTTTCTTCATGTTACGAATTCCCGCTCCTTGAAAGCTTCGATATTACCGGTCCCGGATGGGATGATATAAATCTACGTATGCATGCCCCGAAAATATTGCATTTTAAATGTCTAGGGTACAATAGAATCCCATCCATCGGTTTTACTACGCCAATGTCGAGGCAGTGCAAATCGGTTCTGGGCTTTCGGTTTCGTCCTGAATCGAACTCGTTCCTCGAGCTAAGTGGATTTCTCCATGCGTTCAGTCAATCTCGAATTTATCTCAGTGTTTTTTTAGATCCCATGCCAAACATTTTGAACATTGAACAAGACATTATTGATAATATTGATGGTGTTGATGTGGAAGAATTGGGATTAAATATGGATCATGCAGCTTCGTTTCCAACTTTTCTAGACTGTATGTTTAGCGTTTGTCGTCCGAGGAACATAGTTCAGCACTCGTACGTGCGAGAAGCTCACATCGAAAGGGATCAAAAGGAACTCACCGAGTTTTTGTGCAACTTCCTAACTATGAAAAGTTGGGAATTTACAAGGAAAGAAGATTTGGAGGAAGTAAGGATTGAAAGCTTCGATGCGGATAATCAACAATGGGAACCTGTATTATTGTCGGAATGTGCATTATTGCCGGAGAGTAAAAAACGTCTCCGCTTTCAATTGAAATGGAGTGAAGATGCTAATCGTGACGAGGAGTCAAGTTCTTCTAAGCGTCGCAAGTTGGAATAATTATATAGATATTATTTTTATTTAATGACTTCAAACAAATTCTGAGAAAAGTTTTTTTTCTTTTATTTTTCGTCTGTGTTTTTTGCTTTCCTCTCCATTTTCAATATTACAGGTTATATGTCTCTATTCACATGATCCTTATAATGGTGCAATATTTATAATTGTTGAATTCCAATACATTTACCATATACTTACACACAAATATATGTGTAATATATATACACACACTCACGAGAACACATTGAAATGTAAATTACAAAAGCCATCTGAATTCCATCAACAAATCAATCACAATATTATATAATCAACACAACGGGTCAATAATCGATGCTTGAACGCATTGACCAAAGAGGCTAAAAAGATCCTCGGAAGATTCCGGGAAAAAAAATATGACCGTACCACAAAGTTTCATCAATCGAACACTTAGACTGATTGTGTTTCTTTTTTTTTTTCCAAAGCAAGCTTGCAATAACAATCGTCTATATGCAAATATCATTATCACGCATTTTTATAGTCAATTAATAACCGGATGATACAAGGACATTTTGTTCCTTCAACCGTTTTTGAAAATGAGCCAATCGGTTTTGTAACTGTAAGATACCGTTAGCCTTCTGGGATAGTATTGAGTTCAATCTCGAGATATAATCGTCTAATTGATTCCCCGGTTGATCTGCTTCAACCAACAGATTCATCTCCTGATTTAGAAAAAAATTTAAAAAAAGTCAACCAAAATGCCTTACATTTAAGAAAATTGATAGAGAGAAAAAAAAAAAAAAAAAAGTGATTATGACGAACCTCACGAACAATATCCATAGTCTCCTCCACTTGCTTCCTGTGAGCACTGATAAGATCTTCCTCCTCCTAAAAGATCCAACAGAAGAAAAAAAAACCGATATAAACACAACAGAAAGGATCAAGTAATGAATATCTTGTTAAGAATTAAATCTTCTTTTTTATTTATTTTTTTCTTTTTTTTTACCTTCAACAGAGCAGTTAAATTGTCATCTGAATTCGAATGTTTTATTTCTGCTTTAGGAGGCTCAGCCCACTTTGCCTGGCCATTGGCTCTCTTCAACTTATCATCCATATTGGAGAAGCTGTAAGATTCAGCTACTTTCGTGTTCGCCTTCCATGAAGGTTTCTCCGGTTCGTAGTACTCTTCATCGTATTCATCAATTTGTTCAGGCCAAGAATCGCCCGTAATATTATCGTTTTCAAAATTCGATGATGCTGGTGGCAAGAAAGAAGACAAGGGCTGATTCATCGACTCCTTCAGATTTGCGGTTGAAGACAAAACATCCCTTTTGGAGTTGTTTCCTTTCGAAAGGCTCTTCACTCTGGCATAAGAACAAAATGCAAAGGTAAGGCCTAAAATGTTTATCGGGACAAAAAAGTAATATAGAAAATAGTCAGACTAACCTGTCGGCGTATCTTAATGTGTTCAAGGTATGTTCACAAGATCCAGAGTTTGGCGAAACGCAAGATATCATTACTGTGCGGGAGTTTCCAACAAACGAATCCCTCAAAACTTCGGTTAATTTGCTTCCTCTAAACGGAATGTGTCCCTGATCATTGTCAAGTGCTCTAATACACTCCTTCAGTGCAAGCAAACTTTTATTGATCTCAGCTCCTTCCATTCTGTATATAATCAAAACACCGAATACCAACTTAGGCAAGAATTTCTATCTCATACGACAAATATTCATATATATATATATATATATGTGTGTGTGTGTGTGTGTGTATCTATGTGTGTAGCACGGAAACGGAAACGGCGATACGGGGAAACTAGGAAACGGCATGTTCCAAAAATGGGGATACAGGAACTTGGGGGAAACGTGTAAATTAAAAGTATAGGGGTATATTTATAAATATTCTATATAAACATATATAAGTTTTTATTTATATATAAATTATTTTTATATATTTTTATACAAACATATTCAAAATAAATTTTACTATCAACTATCAATTTGCAATTGATCATTAAATCATGTAAAGAATTTGGGCAACAACATAAATATTTAAAAATTGGCTATTCAGACATGTTTCTAACTTTTCAGAAATTGCAAAATGGCCCATAAGGTGTCCGGCACGTGTCTTCAAGTTTCTGACACGAAACATTTCCGAAAGGGATAAACGTTAACATAGGTATGTATGTATACCTGGTCTGCTTATCGTTATCAGTAGTATCAGCACCACGTTCACTTCCAGCAAGGTCTATAAAGGAAAGTTTGCCGACAACTCGGGCAGGTTTAGCTTCACTACCATCGGCTGATCTCTTAATTGTGAGCTGAAGAATGGCGTGAGAACGAGAAGATTCCTCATTTGCTCCTGTGGTGCCAGTACTTCGTGTTGCGTTTCCTTTCTCGATGAGTTCTTTAACAATCTCCACATCAGCCACTCGGTACTCTTGCAAGCCCACAATACAGACTTGCTGTTTGCCGTCCTCTCTCATGCAGAGTTTTCTGCAAGGGCAAAACAATTATAAAAAAAGGAAAAATAAAATCATTGAACTCTAATTATGCACGGCGAAACTAAGACGGATTACTTTCTATCGCTTAGCAGATCGTAAAGCTTTCCTCCGTATATTTCGAAGAAACTGACGAACAACTGAAATCCTTGGTTTCTGTAAGTGTGCTGCATTAGCCTCAAGATATCTCTAACTGCTCTGAGGGGCAGTGGTTTCATAGTATAAGTTTTGCCACTTCCTGAAGAGAAGGAGAAGAAGCAAAATAGAAGGTAAACAAGAAATGTGTAATTCCTCGAAAACCCCCCACATTTACCCAAATTTGTGGTGATTGAAATTGATTTCTAAATGACACAATTGTATAATTATTACTAGCAACTAATTACCTGTTTGACCGTACGCAAAGCAAGTGGCTTTTGTACGCTGAAATATTATTGGAACAATAGGCTCCACAGTTTCACGATACACCTAAACGAATAAGATTCAGACCACAATTAACAAAAGATCAAGAAAACATTTAATTCGCATCAATATCAGGTCTAGTTCAAGATCACTAACTACCTCATCATTTGAAACTTCTTCATTCAGCACTGCATCAAAAACAAATTCATGTTTCTCCATATATTCTGTCAGGTCAACCTGCAGCATAGTCGGATTTAAGAAAATCAAGATTATAATGAACCGAGTCAACTCGAAATAAAACACTGCAAGGATCATTCAACTTGTGACTACAAATTAGAAAATACAACCATAGAGAATGGACCTCGTTGTGTAGTGTAGATAGCCAAGATAGTTGTGTCAAAATTTGGCATAACTTCAAAAAGTACAACTACTAGAGAACTCAGATTTAGTAATAAGGTAGAAATCCAAAGCACCACATAACTTCAAAAGAATAATAACCATGCGAACAAACGAGTAGTACAACTGTAAGAATCTTAGCAACGCAGAAAATAAGCTGAGAAGGTTTTACTATTTCTCAGACCTTAAGTTTCGTCTCATGGACCACGAGAGAATTCGAACAGGTTTCTATGATATCTTCGTCATTCTTTGCCAGTTCTTTTTTGTTTAGAGGTCTTTTCCGCACCTGCAATAAATTAATCATTGTTATCAAATTACACTACAAGCAGATACAGTGTAACACATGTGTATAAGTTCCCACACAAGTCGGGTTTCAGGTTTTGGGTTTCGGGTCATTTAGTTTAAGAGTGCAATTCCCGAAGCCACTTAATAAAATTCTGTGCACATTTGTCGAGAGAAAAGACCAATACAAATTTTCTATACTAGAAATCGGAACTTGACGAAGTAGAAAAAACGTACCACTACTTTGATCTTTGCAACACTGCTTGCCTTCACATTATCAGGTGCGAGACTTTTCAGAACATTGCTTTCAGTCAAGCCACGAGCCCTGCCAGTTTGTTTATTGCTTGCAAAGTATGCATCAGAGTCATCAAAGCTTCTTCCCCGTGAATAATTATTCATTGACGGACCATCATGCACACCAGGAACTGAAATCTATTCTCCGCATTCACAACCAATAAATAGGCAAAATTAAAAAATTGGAATTTCCACCTTATTCTAATCTTAATGTGCGAAAATGCGCATTAAAAAATTTCACCTCTACAGATTATTTAGTCCAAAACTGCAACTCACATACTCAATAACCACATTGACAATTCCACCGTAAACTACTTCGGAAAAGTAACGTACGGCATTGAAAAAAAAACAATATACCTCAGTAAGTAGCTCGGTATCGAAAGAATGAAGATCCAAAAGCCCCGGACTATACTCATTAGGCGAAACTTGTTCCTCCCCATTCTTCCTCCGTGAATTCTCCGGCGGGGTTAATGGCTCGGCAAACGAATCGCTGCCTCCACTGTAAGTCCTCTGCGCCTGCACACTTCTGTACATTCTAGAACCCTGACCCCCTCCACCATTATAGTACCCAAAATCCTAATTCAAAAAAAAAATTAAAAAATTAAAAAAATTAAGAAAATCGAAATTCGGGGGTTTTAAATTACGGAATCAGATCTAAACAAAGTTTGCAATCAATTGTAACGAAAATTACAGAAATGCACCTGAACTGGAGGAGCCGCATTGTTTGATGACTGTAGATGCTGCAGACCAGCTGACTGCAGCCATCGCCCGTTTGACGAAGTTTCTAGAAAATTGTCGGAGTACTGCCGCTGGTGGTGCGCCGCCGGTGCGCCGGATCTCTGCCTCCCCACCGTGTTCATTTTCTCTCCGATCAAAAAAAATCAAATTAAATCAAGGGCAAAAAAAAAAAAATTACTCAGCCAAGTTTCAAATGTGGCTGGTTGAAGAATTAGCTTTGAAATTCAACGGCTGTGATTTCTTCTTCACGAAAATCAAAGATTGAAGAGTTCTCTGTGAACAGTGAGACTGGAATTGGTAAAAGAAAGAGAGGATTTTGAAAAGAAGAAGAAAATAAAAATTGTTTTTATTTTATTTAAATTGTTGATTAATTAATGGGATTGTTTGATTAGAGAAAAGGTGGGGCTTGACAGTTTGAAATTTGAATTAAGGTTGGAGCGGCACGTGTGAAGGGAATGTGTACGTGTGAGGAATCTGATTGGTTGCTGGGGAATTGGTGCCTGTGAAAGTGGGCCCCGGTTAATCAATTTTTGAATTAGAGGATGATGTTTTCGCTACCCCGTGTCGTTTCACATGTTGCGGTACGTCGTTTAGCTCCTCGTGTATCCTTTGGGGTTCAAAATTAATTCAACTTTTGTAAATTGTACCTTTTTTTAAATGTTGATAGGAAAATATATTTAAATAAAAACTTTCATCCATTTTTAAGTCCCTTAAATACATTTAATTAGTTATTGCGCTTATTAACAAAATTAACAAAATTATATTCCCAAATTGATGAAAGTCTCTTCTAAATTAGACGAAATTTTCTTCTAAATTCGACAAATTAAATTTGTTCTTTGTTTTTTTAATCATTGCAATGTAGGGTGAAAAAAAAGGTTAAATGACGTCTAGAGCTTTAGAAGACGAAATTAACCTTCCAATTTACTCAAATCGGACAATAGTTAAAGCGAGAATACGCATTTGGAGCAAAGTTCACCGAGTTGTATCTTTCGAAAGGGGGACAGTCTCGTTTTTGTATTTTGAGGGGGAAAGTGCAAAAAGGCATTTTATAGGGTGTAAAATGTGTAGGACAAGAGGTAGAGGAGTGGGGCGAGGATTATGTGCCTTAAATAATCCACTTAATATGTATTAGCTAGTGGAGTCAGAATTTTAAGTTCGAGAGAAGAGCGCATTAAAAAAATTAAAGGGTGCGTTAATGTTATTGTACACAAAAAAAAAATTATATTTCTATAAAAAAGTAGAGATTTAAAAAATATTGGGGGGGCATTGTCTCTCCTATATTTCTAATTACACCGATTTAAGTGTGTGTTTCGAATTTTGAATTTTCGGGTCACCGGTCACGATTTCATGGATAGAGTCAATTTAATTGTGTGTTTCGGATTTCGTATTTTCAGGTCACGGTTCACAATTTCATGGATACATACAGTCAATGGTTTATTAATAATAGTGAATGGAATAATTGCATACTAGAGATCGTAGTCCAATTAATATTCAAAGTTGCAAAATTGAAATCCAAACATATTACGTCCATTTGACTATTTCGCAAGACTTTTGATTGTAGTTCGTGTTACAGATTCCCACGCCTCCGAATACTAAGCTTTATAAATTGTTATGGGTGGGAACGATTGGATCAGCCGCCGCCGTTACGTATTAGTGCCCCAAAAATATTGTATTTTCAATACGTAGGGGCAACCATGCATATCGAATATAGCAGTTATATTTTGTCGTCGTCAACCTGCAGACGAATCATGGTTCGTCAAGGTAAGTAGGCTTCTCCAGGAATTAAGTCGATCCAAGATTTTTCTCAGTTTTATTGATCAAGATCCCATGCATAACAACAATATTCCGAACAATGATGATAATATTCGAGGTGGTGTTGTAGTACAGGTGGAGGAATTGAGATTAAATATCGGTCGTCGTTCATTATCTTTGTTTTCGTGTGTTTTAAATTGTATGTTTAGTATTTGTCGACCGATGAAAATAGTTCAGCACTCGTACGTGGGAGGAGGAGAGTCTGAAAAACAAAGGGATGGGAACGAACTCACTCGGTTTTTGACCAACTTCCTACGTACCAAGAGTAGTAGTGAATTTAGCAAGAAGAAAGATTTGAAGAAATTAACGATTGAAAGCTTTGATACGAGTAGAGAACAATGGGAATATCTACCATTGTCCGAATGTGCATTATTATTGCCCGAGACTAAAAAACGTATCCGCTTTCGATTGAAATGGACCACGACCGGTACCGAACCAGCACCTAAGTTAGATTAATTAATTAATTAATTAATCAATCATAGAGATTGATATTTTACTTTTTTTTTATTTTTGCATTCATGTTTTAGTTATCTATATATATTACCACCAAGTAATATTTCATCTCCCCGAGTTCATATTCTTTTGCTTCTCTTGAAATTGTCTGCAAATTATACCAAATTTTGTAAAAAAATCACATTTATTTAACCAATATTTTTTTGCTTTACTCCATTTGATCCACAATAAGTATCTCGTTTTAAAAATATTTTTGTTTATATTATCTGTCATTTTAGAGTTTAGACTATCAGTACCGCATTAAAATGCGGTATTTCTTGTTTTAACCTTATTAATTCAACTCTAAGTATTAATTCTTTTATCACATCATTATATGATCAATGTTATTGATATGTTTCGAGAGTTTAAGGAAGGAGAATTAGAAGAATAAGAGAATAATATAAGAAACGAGAGATAATAAAATTAAAAAGGAGATTAAGAATAAAAATAGTTCTCTATCTTTTATTGTCGTATATATATACATCGGAGGGCCATCTCATAAGCCGTAAAGACGGCCCCATTCACGACGAACGCCCGAGCCACCGCCGTACCCAAACCCCGCCACAACACACAGTACCCTTCTCTCTCCACACTTGCCCTAAAACAATCAACAATGCCAGGACATGAATGCGGGCCCACTTGAGCTTGAATCCTAGTCTTGATCACATCCAACGGGTAACAACAGATCCAGCTGGCAACTCCGGCTAGTCCACCGGCAAGAAGCATTGTCCGGAAACCCTCGTTCCCGTTTTTCCGACACCCCGGGTGGAACTTCTCTCTCATGTACTCGTAGGTCCAGAAGTAGGCACCGTGTGCCGGCGCGTCTCGTAGGATGGTGATGAATAATCCGCGGTATATTCCTTTCCAGCCTTGGGTTTGGAATATGCTTCTGGTTAGGGTTAGTGGGCCGGTGTGGTGGATGGTTTGGTTCGTATTTTGGAGCTGTAGGCGGATTTTGATTAGCTCGACTGGGCTTAGAACTAGGCTTTGTATCGCTCCGGTGCCGATTCCGCCCAGAGCGACAGCTCGGTACGACGGAGGATCTTTCATGGCGGCGGCGGTGGTGGTGGTGTCGAATGCTCGTGACAGTATGGCGTATGTTTGGAAAGCGATGGCGTTCTGTGGAAGTGAAAATTTTATTAAATTATTTTTCATACATATTATAGATTTATAATTCTTATTATTTTTTTTTGGAATTTGGATTTATATCAATAAACTTTAAATCAAATTATGGCCACACCCCTGAGGTAAGGTTAAATTATAAAAAAATCTCTCTTGTTTACATAATTACAGGCACCTCCCTCAACTATGTATTATCTTGCGAAAAAATCTCTCCAGTGGATAAATTTAGGGGGGTTCATAGTAAAAATTGAATTTTCGGTACGCCAAAATTTCACACCGTTTAGCGTTTGTTTCGATAAATAACCGAATTACCGAAATTTTAGAAAAAAATGATTTTTTTTTAATTCGGTCAGTTTATAAAAAGTATGAACACTCTTAGGTAAATTTGACACTATAAGGATGGACAAGTAAGACAATAGATAGTTGAGGGAGGTGACTGTAATTATGCAAACAAAAAGGGTGTTTTCGTAATTTAACGTTATCTCAGGGAGATAGTTGTAATTTGCCCTAAACTTTAATACCAAATAATTAAATCGATTAATTAAACCATGTATATATGTGGTCTACTTTTTGGTTAAGGGTCGCTATTTATTTTAGGGTAGAAAACGGTCACCTCGTTGAGCTAAAGTCAAACTACAAAAAATTCCTTTGGGTAATTATAATCATTCTTAATTATGGATATTCTTACACGCCCTCCTCGTACTTGTAGTGTCGAATTTTAATGAAATCTTCTAGATTAAGTGCAATATTCTCCAATTTGTACCCATTTTACGCGATTTGAGCTCCACGTTTTGAAACAAGATCATCATAAGACGTGCCTCTTGGCTTGTAAATATCAGATTGTGTGGCATCATAAATTGCGTTTTTGCACAAACCGACTACAAACTTGATAACATTCCACGGAATCTAGAAGATTTTGTTGAACTTGACACCATAAGAGTGGACATATAAAAAAAATCTTTGAGGGGCTAGTTGTAATTATCCAAACATGAGGGATGTTTCCGTAATTTGACTTTAACTCAGGTTGTATCCGTAATTTACGGTTTATATTATTTTGAAATCAAGACTTATTATCTTTTACCTGGAAAGTGACGGAAGCCAAGGGAGCAACCATGCCACGGTAGAGGGCGGAGGGTCCTTCCACGGCGACGAGGCGGCGGAGTATTGCAAAAGCAGACCCTTCGCTCGAATGCTGCTGCCGGATTCTCACGGTGTCGAGCGGATACCCGGCCAGAACGCCGGCGGTGCCGCCGACTCCTCCGGCAACAAACTCCCTCCCCCAGCTGCTTCCTAGAAACTCCGGCCAGAAATCCATTTCACTCTCATCACCCAAAATTCTTTTACAGCTGAATTTAATTGTTTGATCAAGAAGTATAGTTAGGTTTTCGATATTTTTCACACAGAACACACACTAGAAAGAAAATAAATTAAAAAAAAAAAAACACCAGAAATTAACAGCTTTTTTAGTTAGTTATTATAACTCACTGATTCGTTTCTTATTATAGTTTTTGGAATTTGAGGCCTAAAAAAAGGGTCCGAAACAGGAGCATATATGTAATATAATTTTTTGGTTAGGAAAAAAGTAGTCAAACAGTTGTCAGAGGGATGGGTGCCACGTATGAAAATATTTATTCATAATAAATTAAGGGCAAATTAAGATAAACCCCTTGAATTTAGGCTAAATTGCGAAAATACCCCGTGTATCCGTAATTATCAAAAGACCCCGACGTTTGTTTTCATCGTACACGGACCCCATTATGGTAATATTTTCATGGAATATTTTTTATTTCAGTTAATATTTTCCGAAAAATGTCAATTCTACATGTGTAATCGTGGCATTTTCTGTATGCTACTTTTTAACGACTAAATTACTCTCGGATAGGTAATGGTATACTAAAAGGTTGTGAATGTTTTATTTAAGAACAAGTAAATATTGTGTGTATATGCTCCCGGAGGGTAAATTTTGGCCTTTAAAAAGTAGCATATTGAAATGTCACGTTTGTAAGGGTAACATCGACATTTTTCGAGAAATATTATTTCAAATAAAAAAGATTCCATGAAAATCACATTGTATTATAGGGATCGGTGTAAGATGGAAACAAACATTGGGTGAGTTTGATAATTATAGATAGGGTGGATGTCTTTTTGGTAATTTAACCTACGTTTAGAGGGGTTTTTGTAATTTAACCATAAATTAATAATCAAATGTTTGTTGGGCCAATTTTGAGATAATGATCGATCAAGAAAGGGCTGCTAAGCTAATCACAGTCCTAATTTCGGGCTAATCCTTATCTTTCTTAAAAAAAGCTATTAGTGCAGTGTCACGCAACAATATTAAATAATAAATAAAATCTACATGAAATAGATAATTTCATTTGTTCATAGAAAGGGTACTAATACTTAGGTTTATCTTTATCTTGATTAACGATCTTTAATTGCAAAATGGTTATATGACGTGTATTTGTTAATGTTTTATATACTAATATGTACAATTATGAGCAACCACGGAAGGACCCAGGTCTCTGTGAAAGGAAGTAGATCGTATTCACTAGGTAAAATGAGCTCGCAACAGGGCACGAGTACCGTGGTTTGATAAGACATGGGTCTCACCAGACCCATTCTCATGACAAATATACATACAACTGTTTAACAAAAGGAAAAAACAGGTTCATTATCTCCCTATATTGCATTAAATACACTATTGCTTACTTCTCTGAGATATTACCGTTTTTCAGTCTACTTAATTGACTTGACAGTCAGAGTGCTAACGTCAGGAAAACCTCGGATCATTTCGGAATTGGGGCCTAAATAGACCATTTCACTAACAGTTTATTTGGATTCATTCGGCCAAACTCAGATTCAATTAGACTAGGCAAACAAAAACCTAAATCAATTTGATTTCATATAACAAGCCCAAATACCAATGTTTTTATAACCGGATCGGATATAGAACTGGATCATCATTTGGGTTATGGGTTTATAGGGTCGAACCAGTTCAATCATGTTTTTTATTTTTATTTTAACATGCCATTATTTCATTAATTTTAATGTTTTAAAAATATTATTTTCTTTATATTTTTAAAATACTTATTATTTTCACTTTTATCTACTTCTTCACCTCACTTTTTACTACATTTTATTACTTATACTCTATATTTTTCCATTTTTTATTCTTCAAATCCGGCAATCGGCCACCCCTATTCGATCACCCATAGTCATATCTGATAATCTTTTGACGACTCATGACTAGGTCCAGCAACTCACTACTAAGCCTGTGACGATTCTTGCAAATCTAGCCACAAATAACCAATTCAGCGGTGATTCGAGATGTTTTGGCCGAAAATCGGGTTGCTTGGCTAACTCGGCTTCTCGAATTTTACCGGTCGAACCGAATTCTGGTAATTCGACCCCGATTTTCAATTTTTTCGGTTTTAGATGTCAGACTGGACCGCTTTATTGCCGGTTCATGGTCGAACTGGTCCGACCGGCGGGTTCGGTCATTTTCTAACAAAATTGCCAAATACCCTTTAAATTAGAAATTTTGAAAATTACACATTCACCCCAAAAGTTTTAGCACCAAAGTAAAGTTTTCAACATTTTCAATTAAGTCCTTCATGTTTCCAGAAAAACCATCTTCTCTTCCCCACTTCTTCGTTGTGACTTTTTCCAAGAAAAACAAGGTGAAAAAACCAATTCGTGGGAGAAGATTGAAGAACGAGGTCGTCGAGCTATTCTTTATTGTCGTCGAGGTGCCGCGGTCGACAATAAAGAACTGTCGAATTGGGGGTGATTGTCGGCAAGAAGATATGACTTTTTTTATTCCTTTTTCTTTTTACTAATTAATTTGTATCTATTTCATTTTGTTTGTTTAAAATTAAAATAATATTCGAAATTCATTAGGGATAGTCATATTGTGTTACACGGTTTACGGCCCGGTCCGGTTCACGGTTTACATAATTCAAGAACCGAGCCTATTCCGAGGAACACGGGTCGGTTCACGGTTCCGATATCGGTTCAACGGTCAACGGCCCGATCCAGTTCGTCAACGAGCTGGTTCGGACTGTTCCGAGCCGAAACTGGCCCATGGCCATGTCTAAGTGGGTGTGCTTTGTAAATCATAATTAATTCTTTGAAAATGCTTGTTTTATATATATATATATATATATATATATATA